TTAGCCCTGTTGCAAACATCGGAGTAAACTGAAGAGCAAATCAGACTGTCTGTCCAGATTTTTTTTCTGGACACTCAACTTTATTTAGATGTGGGCTAATAAATCAGTTATTGACTGTCCTTGGAGATAACGATTTAGAATCGATTTCCATACTAAAAATTAAAGTTTGCGGTGCAGAAAAGCAAATCCCAATCACAAGCAATCCGTTTCTTTGAAATATACAGTGGGTTGGGGTGTTTTTTGTGTTTGTTCCGCTTGCTTTAATTGGTAAGAGAGAGTAACGGGGGGGGGGTACACTGTCACAGTAGATGGTAGTGAGACATGAGTTTGCTGTAGATGTGGCTGATTTTTTTGAATCACTGTCCTTTCTAATCATGCATTTTCCGCTTGAAGTATGTACAGGAAGGAGCTTAGAGAAAGGAGGCTGTTGATGTCTGTTTATTACAGGTCTGTCATTGGTTGCATCCCTTCTTGGATGCACACTTTAAAACAGTGAGGGGGGATTGAGTGTGTCAGAGAAGCCGAGAGCAATGCCGTCAGGAGGCTAGACTCTGTTATGAGCCGGGACTCCTAGCAGAGTCACCCAAGGCAGAACATTCACAGCTGAGCCATCCACTTCAGCTGCATTAGCAGAAGAGAATGGGTCGTTCTAGTGGTGACGGGGCAAAGAAATCTCTGGAGGGCAGCTGCTTGGTGGCAGCAGTAGCTGAGGGTGAGGCTTCTATTTCACAGAAAACAGCAGTGACACTATAGCTAATTTGTGTTAGTAGTGTGCAGAAACCTCTGCTTTACCTTGAAAACCTTGTGATGAGAAATGACAGCTCTGGAAGAAATCAGTTGGCTCTAAGAACTATGATCCCAGTCTATGATCCATCTACAGAAAATGAAAAAGATATAATTGAAAGCTTTTATGCAAGCATTCAGGAAGAAACTAATCACATACCAAAATAAGACATCGTTCTAATCATGGGGGGCTGGAATGCAAAAGTGGGAAACAAAATAGAATCACATGTGGTTAGAAAATTTGGTGTAGGGGTCAAAAAGTAAACAGGAAAATGGCTCATAAGATTTATGTGAAGCTAACAATCTGTTTATTGCAAAGACATGCTTCAAGCAACTGAACAGATTATTGTATATGTGGACATCACCAAGTGGTCAATATAGAAAATCTGTGGACATCACCAGGTGGTCAATATAGAAAATTAATAGACTACATAATTGAAAGCAGGAGATGGAGAAGTTTAGCCTGTTTGGAACAGATTGTGGTAGTGATCATGAACTATTAGTATCAAACATTAAAGTAAAGCTGAAGAAGAGCACTAAAAGAATCCTGCTGCTAAAATATCCAACTTTTCTGATGAATTTAAAGTCCACATAAAAACAGTTTCACATTGCTAAACTCAATTGACCATGACCCAGAAGAACTGTGGATTGAAACCAGAGATATTATTAGGGAAGAATGTTAAAAGACAATTATTGTAGCTAAAAGAAAAGAAAAACCCAGGGAAAAGCTGAAGGCAGCAGGAAAAGAGGGAAGCTGAATATTAGATGAATCGACTTCACAAAGGAAGCCACAGGCTTGACTTTACAAGAGCTGAGCAGGGCTGTTGAGGACAGGGCCTTTTGGAGATTGCTTATTTGTCAGGTTACCTTGAATCAGAGGTGACTTGACAGCCGATAACAACAACAACAATGGGTTGCAGAAGACAAAAAGACACTGAGCTTCCCAGTGTCCTGTTCAGGTTGCAAGGGCCAAATATATCTGTTTCAAGTAGACTTCCAAATAAATTTTGCTGCAGGATTTTGCCGTTATGTTCTGCATGCTCTTGCTCAGTTCATCAAATGTCTCTAATATTTATACTTAAGCTTTTTATTGATATACATTCAGTCTGATGGTGAAGATGTTGGAATCCCTTTTATGCCCTCTGAGAGAGGGTCTAGCTGAGATTACCTGGAATATGTATAGCTGATAAGGTTATAAGCTTTCCTACCTGTGTGGCCTTGACAAAAACTCTGTGAAATCAATGCTGAAATATCCTCACAATATACTACAACTTTTCCCAGATACAGTGATTCATTAGGATACACAACATTGGTCTGGAAATCACAATATTGTTCAGCACTATGGTAAATTCAAAGTACTGTATAACATACATTTCATTCATAATACTCTGACTTGACTTCTTTCAACCTAAACAATCTGTGTTTTAATGAGGCACTGGAACCTATCTCCCTTAAGCTCCAGCAAACATCAACAGTTTGTGTTATGAATTTATCATCGTGTTGAAAAATATTGTCATTTCTACACAACTGTTGTGTGTTCTAATGAATCACTGCATCTAGGAAAGTTGTAGTATATTGTGAGAATATTTCAGGATTGTTTTCATGGAGTTTTTGTCATTGCTAATAACTTTTCTGTGCTCCCTATTGGATATGATTATACCTTTTTGGCCTTGGGCATACTGTAAGTCAAGGTAGACATAGCACACTAGAAGATGGGAGTGATAAACCATTTCTGACCATTTTAAACCTAGAAAATCCTGGGTTATTTTAAGTCAAAATTGATGGCATGTAATTATTATTATAAGGGATTATTTCAAGAAGGGGTTTCAAAATCTGTGAAATAATAATGAGGAAGAAAGTACATTTAAGAACAAGTGTGTTGTTGGCTTTACAAAATTCAGTGAGTCACTCTCTTCTTCATTTCTAACTTAGGCCAAATTCTCCTACAGTGTTTGATTTTTCCATATTTTCTGCTTTTTCAGAAGTGATTTACCATTGCCACCTTCTGCACAGTACTATACTAACAAAATAACGTTAGCTTGAGTTGTCTGTTGAAAATCTTCTGCCAGTGTCACTTCCCTGCTGCTATTCAGTGGCTCCCCGTCAAGAATTTTCTACCTGCTTCGTTATTGGAACTGTTAATTCTCTTCTGTTGGTGCAGTCATTAATTCCTGAAGAGTAGTAATGATTGTTAAGGATCACTTAATGCACGTAGTGGTTATCAGTAGCTGCTTGTACAACTGGACCTCAAAATGGACTTGGTTCTCACAAGGGAAACATATTGTTTAATATGTGGAAATTAAGAATGCATTGTGCATACAGATGTCTCATTAACTGAATTAATGAATACAAATATGACACGTACAAAGTAAGAAAAACATCTTTTTATCATAGTGTTTGCAAATGTTAAGATGTTTAAATGGCAAATTGAGAAATGCAACATATATCTATCCAAAATAAAATAAAATTACAGCCATCTGTTAGCATTTTACCTAGTTGTTATTAATGTAAAGAAATATGTTTTGCACTCACCAACATTGTCAAAATTCCATGCTTTTAATATCTACCATGGAAACCAGTCTGTCTGCTGTAACAATAGGTATCTGAAGCCTTGTGTGTTTTTGTATATAAAATTATACAGAGTTATTTTCTGTTGGTTTGGATATTGAGAACAAAGAAGTGTGCACTAGTTCCATATGCCCAAGAGGTGTTTGGGGGGGGGAGGTTTTTTTTTAAACACCACAACCTAAAGTCACTGGGGATACCCAAGCCAATGGGGTGCACATAAAGATCCTGACCTGTGGCCTTAAACATGTTGACACCTGGGGGCAAATTATTCTAAACACTGAATCTGTTGGGGCAGGAGTAGATCTCATGGGCAAAAAGTATAGGAAAGGTTTTCTCACTGAATTTCAGGAGAAACTGTTTAATAGTAAGAATCTTCTTTTCAGTACTCTGAGAGCAAAGGGTCAGCTTTCTGAACATTTTTGAACAAAGGCTAGGGAGTCATCTGTTGGAGATACTGTGGGTCTGCTTTTACTGCATAGAACAAGAATTTGAACTAGATACACTGGGCAGCCACTTCCAAATCTAGAATCCTGTGAAATATTCTATGACTGTGGAAATGCTGAAAGGTAAACATAGCAGTCTCAATTGTGTTGTCAGGTTCTGTGAGCAGTGGTATTTATTTATACATTCATTTATACATTTCATGCCATTATAGAGGAACAAAATACAATGGAAATACAATTACAATGGAATACTGAATACAGAGGTTTGTTGCTTGTGACTTCAGCTTTTTGTTCTGAGAATTCCTGGCTCAACTGGTTTGTATCAGCAGCCAAGATGGGAGCTACTATAGTGTTAACAGCTGTGGAAGTCATCTCTTGATGCTCGATTTGTGGTAGAACTACTCTCCCTTGAGAAAACTATGCCTACCCAAAGAGCACTGCAAATAAAGAAAAAATTGGAACAGGAAATGATCTTTGTTTTCTTCAGAATTAGCTGCAGAGCTTGGCAAGCGGGATTGCATGGATTGCATCCTGATGCAGTCGTGAGAGGTTCTGAAATGTGAAAGATGTCACCTGATAAAACACACTCTCATTCTTGCCCTCTTTTGCTGTCCATGCATCTCCTTTTCTTGTGCTAGGCTCCCCGTCTCCTAGATCTTCCGTTTTGTTTTCACTTCCCTCGATAAAAAAAATCCAGATTTAGACAGTGTGTTGAGCCCCACCCCATGTATGTACAGCCCACTGGTACTAAATGAGAACAGATCAACTGATCATACAGGAAAAAGTATGTACGGATCATTCCGGCTTGAAAAAAATAGATCCCCAACCCCAGCAGCAGAGAGAAAAAGCTGCATGGGAACAAAAAGAGCCGAGCCAATTTGAATCAATTTGCATAATATGATCAGTAAAAAAATTATTTTGAATTCATCCATTCAATAAGTGGAGAAAATACTGTGATACATTTGACTGTGTACCCTCAGCCTGACACTCAGAAGCCTACTCGGCTAAGTACCTTTGGATGGCCACTTTTTTCGCCCTAAACTCATTCACAAGCTTGTTGCAGTGACAAAGGAGGAGAGATCATGTATGTTGTCTCAAAGTCTCAAGAGAAAGATTGGGAGAGAGGGAGGGTGGGAAAGAAGAAAGGATGGATAGATACTTGAATTAAATCTAACATTGTGGCTTTCTTTGTTTCTTATCTTCCAGGGCTGTTTGTTGTTTATATTGAATCTGAAGCTAGGGTGGAGGACTCAGAAGGTAAGTTTTCTCTGGACCAACAAGCCTTCAGAACAGCATTAAAAGTCCCACTTTAAACCTGTGTTCTATAGTTTTACTTGTTTGTGAGGATGGCAGGTGGCTGTGAGCATTCCAAAAGGAAGAGATGCGGTGCTGAGTACTGAAATCTCGTGTACAAAGCTTCCAGGGCCCTGTGTTCTGACCAGGAGGTAGTGATGGAAGCTACAGGAAAAAACATCATCCAGGGCACATTTCTTGTATGAGCTAGCAGGCTTGTGGATATCTTTGTAGTGCCATATTGTGGACAGGTGACACCCTTCTTCAGTGAAGAAAAGTTGTTTTAAAAAGAACTTGAATTTTGTGTGGAAACAAACTGTTCTAAAGCCCCTTTAGGAAGGCCAGAAAAATTGTGTGATAATTCTGCTTGTGCACAGGTAACCCTGATGCCAGAGACATCACTGTCTAGAGAGGATACCCCAGCTCTTGCAGGCCTGATTCCTTACAACTATGACATACCTACATAAGAGGTATTGGGATGTAACAAACTGACAAAACAGGAAAACCCTAGGTACACATTTTTTCTGGCAAAAGCATCTCATGAATAATGTTTTCCTCTGTTGACAGACAAGTAACTGATAGAGTAATGGCACCTCGAACTGTATGAGGGCCTAGGTAGATGCGGCATTCGTGAGTCACACTCATGTTCCTAGTTATAGTATGCCAATTTTAATTTTCCCCCCCAAACTGAAATAAATGTAAAATATACAGCACTCTAACCTTTTCCAAAGAAATAGCCATGTTCGTGTGTCTTAACATGTTGTCAAAATTAAAAGGGGAGAAAGGGCAAAATATTGTGACACTTTAAAAGACTACTGTAATAGTTGTTGTTTTTTTTACAGTGTGAGCTTTTGTGGATCAGAATCCACTTCTTTGGACCCTTGTTGTCTCTACCAAGTGGGCAGAAGAAATAAATCAAAACAATGACAACAACCACTTGGCCATTCTAAATTGTCTGGTCTTAAATATTTCTCTTGTGAATAGGATGCCACATTGGAATATGAAGCATGTAGTGGAAAGTCCTCTTTCTCCATACCATTGATATTGGATGAAAAAAGAGCTCCAGAGATTTTGCCAGCTAAGGCGGAGTAGCAAATCCCCCCCTTTCCCCTGCACGATGGTGCAGTAGTGTTATTTTGACTCCTGAAACAGAAAATCTGAGAAACATCTTTTAAGTTTCATGACAATTATCAATTGGTAATAACACATTGAATAAACTACAAATTTCAGCCCTTTTTGACAAGCAAAATCTGCTGCAAGAGGCAGTTGCCTCAGTCTGTCTAATGGTAGGACTAGGCCTGCTAGTTGAAACCTTCCTGATGTTTAAAATTGTTTTCTCTCTACTGGTTTCTTCCAAGTCAGTTTGGTGATCCCTTTTGCCCTTGTAAGATCATTAATATCCAAGCCTTGAGTAAAGGTGCACTGAGGATGGCTAGAGTAATTGGTAATCCTTTATGTTTGATAATTCAGGGCAAAGCTTGGAAAGATCTTCCTTCCTTCCTTCCTTCCTTCCTTCCTTCCTTCCTT